TCAATTTGAAAAGCTTGAACACATACAAGGATAAATGGGCAAAGGTCAGAAATAAAATTTATTTTAAAAATTCTAACGCTACTATGAACATATATGAAAGTTTAATCAAGGAAATAAAAATAAGATATTGTTGTTTGCTTCTATATTACCAAAATGAAAAAAATATCAAGGTGGAGACTGCTTGTTCTCAACCCAGTACCAGTTTCCCTTTCTTGCTTACTAACAAAACACAGGACTTTGTAGGACAGAAATGTATGTAGCTAAAATCTGCATTTCCTGGTCTGGCAGATAATCTTGGCCATATGACACAATTTCAGTTAAAGATGATATTAAGGAGGTGGAACTTAAAACTCTTTGGGTAGCGGTGCTCAGCAGGCCTTTTTCTTTTTCGTTTTGCTTCTCCTCTTTTCCCTGACTAGAACTCAGAGACCCTCTGTGGGAGGTAAAGCAGTCGCCTTGTGACTCTGAGGGGATAAGCATTCACCAAAAAATGCCAATAGGCTACTGTTATAGGAAACCACTATTCCTAACTGATATGCACAATGCCTGTGAGGATTCCAGTGCCCTCACACATAGCTGGTGAGACTGTACACTAGTACAACCTATCTGAAAAGCAATTTGTCAACATATATAAAGAGCTTTTAAAATGTTCATATTAACAAATTGCATTGATTGTGGGTATGTAAACAACCTCTAAGATGTAACCATTAAGTGAGAAAAGTAAAGGACATAACAGTATGTAAAGTATGCTTCCAATTGACTAAAAAAAGGGGGAAATAAAAAATATATGTGTGTTTACTTGTATATGCATAAGCTACCTCTGAAAGAAGAAACATGAAACTGATAACAGTGGCTGACTCTAGGTGGAAAACTGGAAGGCTGTGGAACGGGGGTTGAAGCAACTTTTCACTGTATACCCATGTACTTATTTTTCATAGACTTTGGCCCTTTTGGAGTTTCTTGGAGATCCATCCTAAGTAAATAATCACATATACAAACATTTACATAAAAAGATGTTTACCCCAAATGTTATCACTAATTGTGAAAGCTTGAGGCTAAGCTAAATGCCTTACATCAAAAAAGAAATTATGTAAATTAGATATACCCATGTTACAGAATACTTTGTAACCATAAAAATATTATTTATAAACAATGGCACAGGGGGTGCTTATGACAGTATTAACTTAAAAAGCCAGATATGTTATTGGTTTTCAACTTTTACACTCAACTTCTACTCAATATAGAGTGTTATTCACAAGACCATGTAAATGTTAACAATCCGGGGACTTCCGGCAAGATGGAGGCATAGGTGGACGCACCGTACCTCCACGCACAACCAAGATTAGAACAACAATTTAGAGGCAGAATAACACCGAGAACTGACAGAGAATTTATCTGAATGGAAGTCGGACAGCCAAGAAGTTGAAGTAGACCCGTTCATCCAGACCGGTAGGAGGGGCGGAGAGGAGCGGCTGGGCGTGGGTCGAGGCAAGGAGAGCAGAGAGAGTTGGGCGCATAAGGCAACTGGGGGCGCATAAGGCATCTGGCACGCACAAGATCGCAGCGGGTGGACCCTGAGTAGGCAAGCGGCAGCTGGCAGACCCAGTGAGCCGGCAATTGTGGACCAGGGCAGAGCATGCAACCCAGGATCCCAGAGAAGGGACTGAGGTCCCATGGAGAATGGAGCTACCGCTATTGTTCCCTCCCACCCCCACCCCCGTCCACGTCCCCATCCCCGCCCCCACATACAACATCACAATCTAGCCACTGGGGTGCCCAGCCCTGGTGAACACCTAAGGCTCTGCCCCTCACCATAACAGGACGACCAGACCAAAAAAAAAAAAAAAAAAGAGAAAGAGAGACATGTCTCAAACAGAAGAACAGATCAATGCCCCAGGACTCATCATTTTAAGCAATCGAGAGATAGCCAATCTATCAGATGCACAGTTCAAAACACTAGTGATCAGGAAGCTCACAGAATTGGTTGATTTTGGGTGCAAATTACATGAAAAAAATGCAGGTTACCATAAAAGAAATGAAGGAAAATGCACGGAGAACCAATAGTGATGGGAAGGAAACTGGGACTCAAAACAATAGAGTGGACCAGAAGGAAGAAAACAAACAAACAAACAAGAAAGAATGGAGAAATAAGAATTCAAAAAAAAACGAGGAGAAGCTTAGGAACCTCCAGGACATCTTTAAACGTTCCAACATCCAAATTATAGGGGTACCAGAAGGGGAAGAGGAAAAGCAACAGATTGAACACGTATTTGAACAAATATTAAAGGAGAACTTCCCCAATCTGGCAAAGGGAATAGACTTCAAAGAAATCCAGGAAGCTCAGAGAGTCCCAAAGAAGTTGGACCCAAGAAGAAACACACCAAGGCACATCATAATTACATTAGCCAAGGTAAAAATGAAGGAGAGAATCCTAGAAGCAGCAAGAGATAAGGGGACAGTACCTACAAAGGAGTTCCCATCAGACTGTCAGCTGATTTCTCAAAAGAGACCTTACAGGCAAGAAGGGGCTGGGAAGAAATATTCCAAGTCATGAAAGACAAGGACCTCCATCCCAGATTGCTCTATCCAGCAAAGCTCTCATTTAGAATGGAAGGGCAGATAAAGTGCTTCTCAGATAAGGTCAAGTTAAAGGAGTTCATCACCACCAAGCCCTTATTTTATGAAATGTTAAAGGGACTTATCTAAGAAAAGAAGATAAAGAAAAAACATGTATAGTAAAAGGACAGCAAACTCACAATTATGAACAACCACACCTAAAGCAAAACCAAAAGAAACTAAGCAAACAACTAGAACAGGAATGGAACCACAGAAATGGAGATCACATGGAAGGTTAGCAACAGGGGAGTGGGAGGAGGAGAGAGGGGGAAAAGGTGCAGAGAATAAGTAGCATAGATTGTAGGTAGAAAATAGACAGGGGGAGGGCAAGAATAGTATGGGAAATGTAGAAGCTAAAGAACTTATAAGTATGACACATGGACATGACTAAAGGGGGGGATATGGGTGGGAGGGGGTGTACAGGGTGGAGGGGAGTGAAGGGGGAAATGGGATAACTGCAATAGCATAATCAATACAATAAAATTAAAATAAAAAGATAAACAAGACACGTGAAAAAAAATGAAATAAATGTTCTAGAAATTTAAAAAAAAATAAATGCCATAAGGTATCATAAAAAAAAATGTTGACAATCCTGACAATATAAATGAAAAAGTGTGGCTCATAGAAGGCTGGAGGAAAGAAGTAAAACATAGCAGCCCTAATGTCCTTATCTCAGAGAGTGGGTAATCCAGAGAGAGTGACAGAAACTGATAGAAGGAGAAACAGGTTAAATTAATAAATCAGGAAATTATGTCATAAAACCTGTAATATTGAGTTTTGGAAGTGACCACAACAAAAACAAAAGCTATGAGGTTGCCTTATAGGCAAGGGATTGTAGGTGGGAAAAACATAGGCAGAAGACCATTGAATTTCATCCTAAACTCCTCTGTACTATTTGATTTGCTACCAGTTACACACATTACAAAACACATTTGTTTGATAAAGGGCAAAATAATGTTAAAGTAGGATATATGTTTTATACACAATGTGATTTCAACCATAAAAATTAAAATGCACAAGAAAAAAAGACTAGAAGGAAATATGTCAAAATATTAACAGTGGTTGCTTCTGGGTGGCGCAATCATGGGTGGTTTCTTTTTTACACTTTCTTCTATTTTCTGTATTTTACAAATTTTCTACTATGCTAATAAGTCAGAAAGTATAGGAAAAAAATAAAATCAGAAAATAGGCCCGAGGAAAGAAAAAAGAAACATTTGTTGATTAACACACTACAAGAACACTTTCCAGGACCACCCCACTGCCACCCTGCCACCCCACTCCCCCAAACCCAAGCAAACACTAGAAAGGCTAAGGCTGATTGGGGACTGCAGGCCCTTTATTTCCTAGGAAAGCACAGGTACTGAGATGCCAGCACCCCTTGTGGCAGGCTGCTGCCATGGCTCTCAATTTGCTCACATCTCCCGGTATGCATGAGAATCTTGCAGCTCCCCCTTTCAGGAGATGGAATCTACTTCTCTACCCACGAAATCAAGGCTTGGCCATGCAACTTGCTTTTGGCCAATGGGCAACATGACACCAGCAGAGGCTTGAAAAGTGCTTGCACATTGGGGTTTGTCTTCTCTTGACACTGGATACCCTTATGCTTAGCACCTTGTGAAAAAGCTTAGCATGGCCTCCTTGTGGATAAAACACCACATGTAAAGAGGTCCCACCCAAACCAAGTTAGGTCCCAGATACCTCAGGGAGACCTTTTCAGATCATCCAGCCCCAGCCAAGCTGGTCCAAACTGGAACAGCAGCTCAGTCAATCTGGAGAATCGTGAGAAATGAGCAACTGTTGTTCTAAGCCATTGTTTTGGGTAGTTGAATGAGCAGCAAAAGCTAACTGACACACCCTCCAATGTGAAAACCACCCAGCCAATGAGATGAATAAAATTATTTTATTATTTTCTAAATTCCATGTTCAACTCAATGATCATTCTCTTCCTTTCTCAGAGATGGCCTCTCAGCCAGTATAGGAGACAGGCTAAGGAGTCTTGGGCCTTGTAGAGCTCAAGAGTCAACATAATTTCCCTCCACTGACATTAATATTAGCAAAGGGCTATGATGATGGTAACAATGCTCTCAGAAGCCTTAAACAGCTTGCTAAGCTCTGTTTAAGGTCTTCCTTGTTTCATCTCGAGCCATGTAATATCAGAAGCAAAGTGCTCCATCACCTCTGGCTTTGCTGAACTGAGTGTATGAACTGTGTCTCACTGATCATTTTTGCTCCAACACCAAATACCTCGCACACAGCAGGCACAGTCTGCTAAATAAACAAATGAGTGACTGACTCACGTCTTCCTATATTAAATATCCCACCTACTTCCAGCCTATTTCTCCCCCAACTGCCCCTACAGAGTTTAAGGACAGAATATAGATCACCTTTAGGACTCCATGGAGCATCATCTGAATTCTTCTTTTTCTTGGGTCGAGATTTCAAAGCAGGGTCGTCATCATCAGACTCCAGGGAAGGGTAAACTGCAGTGAGAGGGGAAAGCAATGTGCACTGAGATATCATCCAGAAGGGTGAAAACAGAATGATACATACCTCAACTCCTATCACACCCCCCAAGTACACCCTTTACTTAATCCAGCATATTCACATGCAGGAATCCCTGAATGTGCCACATACTTTCCATGCCTTTCTACTTTTGCACCATTGCTGCAAATGTCCTTCTCCCAGCATCATCTAATTCTATTTCACTCATGTAACACCCATTTAGTGAGTAACTTCATAAGTTACTTTACTGACCCTACAAAATTCAGCTCCAGATTCACTTCTTAAAGCCTTCCTCATTCTCCTAATCTGATCTGGATGCCTCTTCAACTCTCCATACTATCCTGTGTGTATTCCTACTGGAGTTATTTCTTATCTAGTGCTTAAAAGATAATCAGCAAATCTGTCACTCCTAATTTAACAAGAGGACGGGTATGTGTATTGTTTGATTTCAATTGAAGGGAGCCTAATATAATGCAGAGTAGGTGCTCAATAAGTGCTGAATTAATGAAAAAAGAATGGTACATGCATTATTCACAAAAAGGGAACAAAAACACTATTTGGGCTCAATTATGAACAAGATTACTGGAACTGAGTATTCTGAATGAAAAAACATATACAAGCATCTCATACTATACAAACACACACAAACATCCAGTTTTATCACCCTCTCCTTACAATCCACATGCAACATTTATAGAATTTAATGGGAAGGTAGTCTAAAAAAGTCCTATTGATGAGGTCAAACTCTGCTGCTGCTAAACCTAAAAGAGAAGCAAAGTGAGATCGAAAACTTCCTCCTAATGACCAGCTTCAAATTTCTCTGGAAGTATATACTTCATCAGAGGAATCCAGTCTCCCACTTCCTTCCAGATGGGCCTCTTTGTAGGAAAATGAGTCCATCTTTCAGGCCTTCTTCCTTGAATAAAGAGGTAAAACCCCTTCCTCCTGACTTATAAAGATCTTTTAAAGAGGGGTCATTGATTGTACCTAGAAAGAAATGACTACTGGTAACAGGTGTTTGAGAAGGGTCCCATCTATCCCTACTAGCCCCGATGGTTGTCAGTGTTATTTTGTTGGGTCTGAGAGGTTGTTTTTGCCTCAAAGAAAGAAGTGCAGTGAGGTAGAAAGACCTTGAGTGTCAATATCAGACAATTACGTTGAAATCCTAGAGTGACCCACTATCTTTATAGCCTAAGAGAAATTTCCTAAATCTTCTATTTTCACCTATAAGATTGAATACATATCATCTGCCTTGCAAAATTGTGAGGACTGAGAAATAATATATATAAAGTAACATGCAAAAAGAATTCTATTTTAAGGTTAATGTCTCCTTCAAGAGGGGATAAGCTATAGGTAATAATTAACTCTAGACATTTAAAGAAAATGCAAATAAAATATGCATATTAAAAATATAAGTGTGCAAGGAGTTATGCTTCCCAAAATTTGGATTTGGGAGCTCCAAGAATCTGTCCCTCCCCTGATGCAACCATTAAGCTGACAAAACCTATAACAATCAACATGTTAGGCACTATGGAATTGGAACTTAAACCAACAAGGAGAATGCTTAACAAAGAAAAAAGCCACTTAATTTAGACATTTAAGGAAATCTGTCAGAAAATATCAAGGAATACAATCTTTGCAAAAAAAAATCATTTGCAAAGTGACTAAATAAATATGTAATTGTAGCCCACAATAAGCAACAACATCAAACACTGGGGAGAAAGAAAAGTATGATTTCTAGAATTACCACATTATAATATTCAAAACAATTATGAAGCATGCAAAGAAACAAAATTGTTTTATGTATAACAAAAGATATCAATAAAACTCTCCATGATGCAGACATTGGACTTACTGTACAAAGACTATAAATCAACTGTCAAATATGATTTGATCGTATTTGGTCAAAATACACTCGAACAGAACCACATCTCAACAAAAGAGACTATTAATTTTTCTATCAAAAGATAGAAAATATAAAAAGGAACTAAATGGAAATTTTGGAACTGAAAAATACAATGGCTTGAATAAATCATTCACTAGAAAGGTTCAATTCAGATTTTGAGCAGACAGAAGAATCAATGAATGTAAAGAAAGCTCCACTGAAATTAACCAATCTTATGAGTAGAAAGAACAAAAAAGAATGAAGAAAAATGAACAGAGGCAAAGGGATCTATGGGATACTGTCAGGCTTACCAACATTTTCATATAGGAGACCCAGAGGGGGAGAACAGAGAGAAAGAGGCAGAAAAGCTATATGAAGATACAATAGTCAAAAACATTCCAAATTCTATGAAGTACATAAAAATAAACATCTAAGAAGATAAAAAAATTATGAGTAGAATAAACGCAGAGATCCACACTGAGACACATTATACTCAAACTGTCAACAGACAAAGTTAAGTGGAGAATCTTGAAAGTAGCAAGATAGAAGCAACTTATCTATAAAAGAAGCCAGAAAGCAGTGGGATGATGTAGTTCAAGTGCTAAAAATGAAAAAAAAAATGTCACCCTGGATGGTGTGGATCACTGAATTGAGTGCCAGCCTGTGAACCAAAGGGACACCAGTTCGATTCCCAGTCAGGGCACATGCCTGGGTTGCAGGTCACATTCCCAGTAGGGGGCATGTGAGAGGCAACCACACATTGTTTCTCTCCCTTTCTTTCTCCCTTCCCCTCTCTCTAAAAATAAATAAATAAAATGTTTTTAAAAAGATTATCATAAACTTTTAAAAAATTGTCAACAAAGAATAATATATCTGGTTAAACTATCCTACAAAGATGAAGGCAAATTAAGACATTCTCAAATAAACAAAAGCTTGGGGAAGTTCATCATTAGTTAAGATGCCCTTTAGGAAATGCTAAAGAGAGTCTAGGCTGAAATGAAAGGACATTAGAGAATAACTTAAAGCTATATGAAAAAATTTAAAAACAGCAGTAAAAGCAACTACAGAGGTAATTATAAAAGCCAGTATTGTTGTATTTTTGTTTCCTATATGATTTAAAATTCCAAAGCACAAAATACCTATAAATCTATGTCATAAGAACTCTCAGAAATGGACATATAAAAATCAGGTGTGCTTCTAAATGTTAGTAATGAACAATCCCTAGAGGAAATTAAGAAAACAATTCCACTTTTAATAGCACTGAAAAAATAAAGAAAGTAGGAATAAATTTAACCAAGGAGGTGCAACATTGGTATATTGAAAATTACCTAATCAACAAAAGAAAAAAGCAAGCAAAATATAACCAGAGACATTGAAATTAAGAACAATCTGACAGTAACCAAAGGGGAGGTGGGAAGGGATTTCAGGAACTCCTACAAAGGACACATGGACAAAACCAAGGGGGAGGGTGGAAGCCAGGGAGAGAGGTGGGTTTGGCTGGGGTGGTGGGGAGTCATGGGGGGGAAATACAGACAACTGTAATTGAACAACAATAAAATAATTAAAAAAAAAAACAAGACTTCCTGCGAAGATGGGGGCCTAGGTAGATACACTTGCCTCCTCACACAACAGGAAGAAGGAAAACAACAAATTTAAAAACAAAAAATAACCAAAACTGCCAGAAAATCGAACTGTATTGAAGTCCGACAACCAAGAAGTTTAAGAAGAAACATTCATCCAGAGCAGTAGGAGGGGCAAAGACAGGCAGCCAGGGCAGAGAGGACACACCGCTAGGCGGTGGCTGAAAGACCGGGTAAGTGAGGGGGTGGCTGGTGGACCAGGCGGTCCCACATTTGCCTGCAGATAAAACAGGAGGAACATAGCAGGAGCAAGACAGACCATGCAACCCAGGGTTCCAGCACAGGGGAAATAAAGCCTCAAACCCCGAGACTGTAAAAACCTGTGGGGGTTGTGGCAGCAGTGGGAGAAATTCCCAGCATCACAGGAGAGTTCGTTGGAGAGACCCACAGGGTCCTAGAATGTACATAAACCCACCCACCCACCCAGGAACCAGCACCAGAAGGGCCCAATTTGCTTGTGGGTAGAGGGAGAAGTGACTGAAAACTGGCCAAAACCCAAGTAAGTGGCATCGTTCCCTCTAGGACCCCTCCCCCACATACACAGCCACAGTGAAGTGAGGTGGGTTGCCCCACCCTGATGAATATCTAAGGCTCTAACACTTAGAACATAACAGGTGCACCCAAAGAAATATGACCCAAATGAAAGAACAGATCAAAGCTCCAAAAACAGAACTAAGCAACAGAGAGATAGCCAACCTATCAGATGTACAGTTCAAAACATGGGTAATCAGGTTGCTCACAGAAATAGATGAGTATGGTTGCAAAACAGAGGAAGATGTGAAGGCTATACAAAGTGAAATAAAGGAAAATGTACAGGGAACCAACATGACAGGAAGGAAACCAGGACTCAAATCAACAATTTGGACCAGAAGGAAGAAATAAACATTCAACCAGAAGAGAATGAAGAAACAACAATTCCAAAAAATGAGAAGAAGCTTAGGAACCTCTGGGACAATCTTAAGTGTTCCAATATCTAAATCATAGGGGTGCCAGAATGAGAAGAGGAAGAGCAGGAAACTGAAAACTTATTTGAAAAAGTAATGAAGGAGAACTTCCCCAATCTGACAAAGGAAATAGACTTCCAGGAAGTCCAGGAAGCTCAGAGAGTCCCAAAGAAGTTGGACCCAAGGAAGTACACACCGAGCCATATCATAATCATGTTAAGATCTTAAAAGAAGCAAGAGAAAAGGAGACAGTTATCTACAAAGGAGTCCCATTAGATTATCAGCTGATTCTCAAAAGAAACCTTACAGGCAAGAAGGGGCTGGAAAGAAATATTCAAAGTCATGAAAGGCAAGGACCTACAGCTGAGATTACTCTATCCAACAAAGCAATCATTTGCAATGGAAGGGCAGATAACATGCTTCCCAGATAAGGTCAAGTTAAAGGAGTTCATCATCATCAAGCCCTTATTATATGAAATGTTAAAGGGACTTATCTAAGAAAAAGAAGA